CTTCTGCCCACCCAGTTTATAATTCGCCGTGCGCGTCTTCCGGGGTACTGAAAGCTTATGGGGCTGCTCCACCCACTACAGGAGATGGTGTCTCCTAAGAGCCCATGAAAACTACGTAATTCTATGTCTAGTATCTGAGCCGACTGGATAACAAATGCAACAACGACAGCCCTCCGATTTTCCGGGGCATCAGGGTCAATGGGGGTATACACCCGATAGGCCTCGCACAGCCTCTCAAGGAAAGCTGCCGGGCTCTCATTAGGCCCCTGGACTGTCTCTGTCACCTAAGAAAGGTTTGTGGGTCTCCGAGCAGCAGCTCAGATGGCCCCCCATAGAGTTGGGGAGCCTCCATTCCCCTCTCAGTATTGGGATTCCAGGTAGGTCGCCGGGAGGGAAACACAGCCTCTAATCTATCTTGTTCGGAAGTAGGCTGCCCATCCGGACCCAGCACAAATCTCCTTCCCTCCACCTTGATTCTCTCTCTCTCCTCTGAAGTGAAAAGAGTTTGCATCAACTGTTGACAATCATCCCAGGTAGGTTGATGGGTAAAAAACACAGACTCTAAAAGAGAAATCAACCCCTGTGGATTCTGGGAGAAAGAAGGATTCTGGTTCTTCTAATTATATAGGTCACTGGTAGAAAAGGGGACATAAACCATAAAAGGCTGCCCGTCTGGACCTAAATCCAAAGGGCCTGCTTGCCTTAATGGCAATATGGGAGCTGCAGGACCGGCAGATGCTGCAGGGTCCCGCAGCTTCTCCCCCGCTCCTTCTCTCTCCATACGCTGTCCCTTGCCTCGTGAGAGAAGGGGAAAGCAGAGCTGGGCCCTGGACTGGGGCTTCCAGAGGAATGGAAACCGGCTGTGGAGAAGGCCGGGGCTTCTGACTGGGGTCATTTGCCACCGTGGTACTGGTGGAGGAGCATACAGGGAAGGCCTGACCTCGGGGAGTGCCTCCTCACCCGTATTCTGCAGAACAGGGGGAGTTTTGCCCTTCTTGGCTGAGGCCAAGAGAACTGTCTGTCTCTGTCCCAATTTCTTTTCTTTATTCTGACAACTCTGTAACCACCTTGGTTTTTCAGTCAAAATATCGACCCACACTTGAATATAGGGAATTTGGTCGGGGTGACCCGGCCGGCCGTAGACAACATGGTGAACCCGATAAGCAGTGGTTAAACCATAAGTCCCTACGTCCGGCCATCCCACCTGGAAAGTGGGCCACTCCCTTTCACAGAAT